GTCACAAAATAAAAAATAAAAAGGGCTAGGGATGTTTCTCAGTGGTTAAGTGCCCCGGATTCAAACCCCAATATTTAAAAAAAGAAATGCTGCTGGGAACAGTGGCACACACCTATAATCCCAGTAAACTGGAATGCTGAAGGCAAGAGAATTCTAAATTCAAGGCCAACCTGGATAACTTAGTGAGATCCAGTCTCAAAATAAAAAACTTTTTAAAAGGGATAGGAATATAACTCAGTAGTTAGAATGTCCTGTGTTCAACCTACAATACCACCAAAAAAAAAAAAACTTGGCGGGGGGGGACCTCAAAGCAAGCAGCACCATTTTATCATAAAAAATTCCATAGATGAGCCTGAGCCAGGCATGGTGGCACACAGCTGTATTTTTGGCTAATCCAGAGGCTGAGGCAGGAGGCAGGGTAAATTACCTAGGAATTTAGCAAGGCCCTGTCCAAAATAAAAAAACAAAAAGGACTGAAGATGTAGCTCAGGCTCACCTAGCACATGCAAGACCCTGGGTTCAATCTCTGGTACCACAAAAAAGAAAAATAAATGTTCAATAAATGCTACAATTATTTAAGGCCAAATTCAATATATATGAGCTATATAAAGCTTGGGCTATATACAAGACTAAATATAGGAGCCTCAAAATCACAAAGCAGACAATGTTGAGAAACAGGAAAGGAGGCAGCTGCTAAATAATCAGCACATCAACTTTCTCCGACTGTAAGCAGCCTTCCTCAAATTTACAAATATTCACCTACTTATGGAAGAATAAAGAAAGCAGGTATATTTGTAAATCAGATGGTAACTGAAAGAACACTGAATTGTTGCTCTGTGTAAGAAAGTCTAATAGTAAAGTATTAGTCGTACACCCCCAAACACAAAGACTAAACACAGAAAAAGAGACTGACAACAGGTCTAGCAGCTGGCATAACAATACATTTTACAGAGCTTTACAAAATGTACAGCATATAATCTATTACTACGTGACCTAAAGCACTTGCATGAATGAAGTGTACTCCCCAACCCCAAAAAATGCCCTTAAAGGAATTCTCACAGCTCAAGCACAATCTCACAGACAGGAATGAAATGAATCACTAACTCTACCCAGAAGAGACCTAGGTCTTATTCATTCTCTCGAATTTCCAGTGGAATCAGAAGGAACAAAGCTTGCTTTCTGCCATATTAGGAAGGGTGCAGCATCCACTGAGTATTATAGTTCATGGAGTACAAAAGACCTCAAGCATGCCTGTCAGGTTTTCTCCTACGTTCCATGTGGCACCAAGAAAATTCTAGGCACTTGATAATGTCCCTGAGAACAAAAAATCAGTATTCACCAAATTACCCCTCTTTGCTGCCAAAGAACAATGGGACTTCAGTAATTTTCTCCTTTTAAAACCGAAATAGGGCATGACTTCAACATTAGCAAATTATCAAGACCACTCCAATGTACACTTGTTCTGCATCTGCATGTGGGCTGGCTAGTACAGCCCAATGCCTTGGCCAGAGCCTGCCCCTACTCCATTCTGTTGTTTGAAAATGAGAGCCACAGTTGTCTCTGGATATGCATATGCTAATTCACAAGGCTGGGGGTGTGGCTAGGGAATAATAGAGTTACTTTAGATAGGTAGAGGGGAGTGAAGGGAAGAGAGAGGTATAGGGGTATGAAGGACAAGAGAATGAATCAGACATTACCCTATGTACATATATAACTATGCGACCAGTGGAATTCCACATCAGGTACAACCAGAAGAATGAGAAATTATACTTCATCTATGTATGAGGCATCAAAGTGCATTCTACTGTCATGTATAACAAATTTATAACAAAACAAACTTAAAAACATACTTTCACCTTTAATTTTTTTTTTTATTATGCAGATGGTAGAGTGCTTGCCTCACATGCACAAGGCCCTGCCTGCGTTCAATCCCCAGCACCACACACACAAAAAAGAATTATGCAGAAAACAATATTCTTTCGTAAAATAAATGAGTGCTTGACTGAAAAAAAAAAAAGAAAGAAAATGAGAGCAACAGATGAAAAGGTGCAGCTCTGCACCACTCCCTCTCCACTCAGCTGTAGGGAAAATGCTGTAAATGTCTATGTCTCTCTATAATTCAAAGGAATTATCACTTGGAAAACTCCATGAATCTATAGCCTCGGGTCCTTACCTTTTAAGCATTTAGAAGCTCCTCAACCTAAAAGATTCTCAGGAAATGTGTTCAATAGCGACTGAAGAGGACTAGGGATATATCTCAGTGGTATAGCACTTGCCTAGCATGAGTAAGGTCCTGGGTTGATCCCCAGCACCACAAAAGAAGAAGAAATAAAAAGAACTGACCGAAGGATCATGTATACCAGGTAAATTATATATTCCACACCGGAATGTCTGGATAATTATATTTCAATATATTCTCCCAGCCCTTATGGAAGATAAAAAACACATCACTAGTTTTTCCATTCCAGGCAATCTGTTAAAGGAAACCAACATTACTTGTAAACAGATTCCAAGCTATCAGAAGGGTAAATTAAAAATATACTTGTGTGTTTGGGATACATTCTTTAAACCATTTGTCAGATTGTTGTTCTAGCAAGATTCTTACAATTAGCCACATAATTTCAAGATTAAAATGAATCTTTATGTTCAAATAGCTCATTCCAATTAAGTAACAAATATATGTGGATCTTTAGCATATTACTTATACACATTTTTAAGAAAAATCTCAAGCCGATCACAGTGGTGCATGTCTACAATTAATCCTAGTGGCTAGGGAGAATGAGATAGGAGGATCACAAGTTCAGAGCCAGCCTCAGCAACAGCTAGGGGCTAAGCAACTCAGTAAGACCCTGTTTCTAAATAAAATACAAAATAGAGCTGGGGGTGTGACTCAGTGATAAGAGTGCCCCAGAGTTCAATCCCCCGTACCAAAAAATAAAAAATAGCCTTATTAGTGAAAAGCGAAAAGACTCCTCACATTACCTGGTATGATTATATTTTCCAGGAAAGGATATAAATGACACAGAAAATACTAACTCTAGCCAATCCAACCACAGTGGCCCCTTTTAAAAAATCTAAATAAAGCCATGACATGATGTTCATGATAAGAGGGCAATCGAGTTATTTCCAAAAAGATTTCAGAAAAAAGGGGGCTGGGGCTCAGCAGTAGGGCACTTGCGTGGCACATGTGAGGTACTGGGTTCGATTCTCAGCACTGCATGTAAATAAATAAAATAAAGATCTATCAACAACTACAAAAATATTTTTTAAAAATTTAAGAAAAAGGAAGAACAATCTTTGTCCTACCCTTCCTATTATGAAAGATACGTGTCCACTTCTAAAGAAAGTTATACACGAAGGTGTTTGGAGTTTGGTTGGGGTGTGTGTGTGTGTGTGTGTGTAGGTACAAAACCAAATTATGGCTTTAGAAGACTGCAAACCTGGGCTGGGGCCATAGCTCAGTGGTAGAACACCTGCCTCAAGCGTGTGTGAGGCACTGGGTTCCATCCTCAGCACCACATAAAAATGAACAAATAAAGATATTGTATCCATCTACAACTAAAAAGATATTTAAAAAAAAAAAAAGACTGCAAACCTGTCTGAAACCAAAATGCAGACTTAGGTTAAATTCCAACAATAGGAGTAAAGAAGGAGGAACAATTATTAAAATAACTGGTACATTTTCTTTTCATTTATAAACACTTTTTATGATCATCATGACCAGCTATAGCTGGAAAAAAGGATAAGAAACTATAAACTAAATTGGAAGGAATTTTTTTTCTCCCTAGTACTGAGGATTAAACCCAGGAGTATTTTACAACCTAGGTAAATTCCTAGCCCTTTTTTCTTTTTTCTTTTGACACAGGGTCTAAGATGCTGAGGACTTCACTAAGTTGCTGAGGCTGGCATCAAAGTTGTGATCCTCCTGCCTCAGCCTCCAGAATTACTGCCACCATGACTGCCTGAAGGAATTTATTTTTAAATATATGTTTTTGCAGGAACATTTTTATCTTTTTTAATATTTACTTTCTTAGTTGTAGGTGGACACACAATATCTTTATTTCATTTTTATGTGGCGTTGAGGACCGAACTCAGTGCCTCACATGTGCTAGGTGAGCACTCTACCACTGAGCCACAACTCCAGCCCCTGAAGGAATTTTTTTAACCTACTTGAAACATGACATTCCCTCCCATGTTTCACCCTGAACCTGGCTGTTCCCTACACACACATCCCACGCTCACCTCTTCCCTCTACCTGATGTGCATCCCACATTCTCATGAAAGGTGAGTAAACACTCTACCTGAAGCTTTCCTGACCCTGAGGGTCAAATCTTCCTGCCTTTTGAGTTCAAACATTTTGTTATATCTCCAAGATGCACTTATTCCAGATTGCATTGAAAAATAACTCTCTATGCTTAAATTTTGTCACCAGAAGTAGATCATGAAAGTCCATCACTATTCCAGCACAATCTTTAAACTATAAACTACAGACTGAGATTTTCATCACTTTTGTAGCCTATCAATGCACAGAGCAAATGCCAAAAAATGAGTTAATAAAAAATAATAATAACATTTTCACTTCAGAGATCCTCAAAAGAAAGTAAAAAGCCATATATCCTAAAGGCCAAGAGTCACCTGCTACAACTCAATCTTGGGTTCCAGCCTTTGGGTTCTAATTACTACACATATACTTTGTTGGGACTCTAGAGAAGATCTGCATTTCCCAAAATGATGTGTGCTGGACACTACTATGCCTGAGAGTCACAGATGCTTAAGTAAACTGTCAAAGTCAGAAATGAAAGTTAAAATGGTTACATTACTGCAGAACTTTAATATGCCAACATACCCTTTTAATTTCAAGATAAAATTCCATTATGAAGCCTTTAGTAAACTAAGTTAAGCAAGATCCTGAGGAGAGTCTGGAAAATGCTTCAAAGAAGTCTTTGATTTTGGTCATAATGTTACTGGGTACATTAGATTAACTTCTAAAAAGTTCTTACCTGATATGTGTTGCAGGGAGAGATTCATATTGGCGTGACAAAAAGAGTTCCCTATGTTTCAACTGATGTTTCTGTTTATCAGTCAAGTCTGCCTCAACTGTTGTTTCAGATTCTTCTTCAATTTCTTCTACAAATAAAATTTGAAGAATTGATTACTATCACCTTTTTGAGTATTAACATAGAATTAAAAAGATAGGTTGAATCAACATTTATTCAATATTCTCTTCAAACTAATCAATTTTAAATTTATATATTAAATTTGTCACTTCAATTATAACAATATATTTTCTTTGGGCCTCAAAGGAAGAAGAGAAAATCCAATTTAAAAACAACAGCCAGACTGGGGTGCAGCTCAGTGGTAGAGTGGGTGTCTAGCATACATGAGCCGTGGGGTTCAATTTTTAGCACAATAAAAAATAATTAAATAAATAAAAGTGTAAAATGGCAGAAGGAACACAAGCATTCATATTCTCTTCATCCAATAAAACTACACCAAGGTGACAAAATGTATTAATATTTCTATGAAAATAAACACTGAGTAGAGAAAAAAATTTTGACCAAGCCAGGAACAATGGCCCACAACCTGTAATCCCAGCAACCACAGATTTAGCAAGGCCTTCAGTCAAAATAAAAATTTTGCCTCAAATAAAAATGTTTTAAAAACTATGAAACACAAAGGGATAGAACACTTCCAAATCCATCCTATGAAGTCAGTATCACACTCAAAACCAGATAAGGAGGGGGCTAGGGCTACAGCTCAGTGGTAGAGCGCCTGCCTTGCACCACATAAAAATAAATAAATATATAGAAAAAATAAAAATGAAAATAAGGTATTATTTTTTAAAAAAGAAAAATACAGACCAATATCCCTAACGCAATCTTTCTCTTGCCTGATAAGAATATGATGACATGATCCTATACTTAGAAGATCCAAAAAACTACACCAAAAGACTTTTAGAACTAATAAACAAATTCAGCAAAGTAACAGATTACAAAATCAAAATCAACATACAAAAATCAATAGCTTTCCTATATAGCAGTAATAAATGTGCTGAGAAAGAAATCAGGGAGACAACTGCATTCACAATAGCTTCAAAAAAATAAAATGCCGAGGAATAATTTTGACCAAGGAGATGAAAGACCTCTACAATGAAAATTATAGAATATTTTTAAAAACCTCAGAAGATGCAAAGACCTCCCATGTTCATGGATAGGCAGAATTAATATTGTTAAAGTGGCCATACTAACAAAAGCAGTATACAGATCTGATGCAGTCGTCGTCAGAATACCAATGACATTCTTCACAGAACTAGGAAAAAACAGTCCTGGGCTGGGGGTAAAACCCAAGTGGTAGAGCGCTTGCCAAGAACGTGGAAGGCATTGGATTCGATCCTCAGCACCAAAAAAAAATAAATAAAATAAAAGTATTGTGTCTCCATCTAAAACAAAAAATTATAAAAAAAAAAAGTCCTAAAATTCATTTGGAAGAATAGAAAACCCAGAATAGACCAAGCAATTCTAAGCCAAAAGAGCAATGCTAGAGGCATCCCAATGCCTGACTTCAAATTATACTACAGAGCTGTAGTAACAAAAATGTCATGGTATTGGCAGAAAAACAGACATATACACTGATGGTATAAAATAGAAGACATAGAGACAAACCCACACATATATGGTCATCTGATCATTAACAACAGTGTCAAAATATATATATATATATATATATATATATATATATATAT